ATTTTAAAAGAAAATAACAACTTATTATAATTATATACCAAATTTGTTAAATTGTGCCCCAATTATAATATACCCTTTTTAAATTATTAATATATTTTGAAAATTTAGTAAATAAATTCTAAATATTTATTAAAATATATAAAGTAATAAAAAAAGTAAGGTAATTTATAATAAATAAAAATAATAATAATAATAATAATAACTATATTTATTATATTAATTGCAAATATTATTATAATAATAAAAGAAGTAAATATAATATGAAATAATTTTCTAAAATTTAAAAATAATAATATTGGATATATAAAAAGGATGGATATTAATCTATTAAATATTTAAAATATAAATAAAAAAAAGTTAAAGATAAATGGAAGGCTAAATAAAGCCCCTCCAAAAAGAATTATGTAATGTTTTTAACAAATTACGAAAGAATTGGAAACTTAAATTTAAAATTTAATTATAAAAGAGATAAAATAACTTATTTAATAATAAATTTAAATAAAAATAATAATTTATATATAATAATTACATATTTATTTAATTAAGCGTTCCACCATTATTTTACTGCTAATTTCCTTTCGGACAATTTAAAATCTAATATTATTTTTATATTAAATTAATATATAAAGAATATTTTCTAAGGAATTATATTAAACATAAGAGTAGCCCAAATATTTATAATTAAAAAGGAATAATATTTAATTTTTATTAAAAAATATCTAAATAAATAATTAAAAATAAATAATACTTATATTAAAGAGGCTAATATTTGATTTAATAATAAATTATTTATTAAATTATTTAATATAATTATAATAAATATCTTATTTAATAAAATAAATTTTTATATTATAAAATTAAATATTCCATTTTTATTATTATTAAAAGATATAAATTAATTAGGAGTATATTTTAATAATATTATTAATTAATTTATATATAAAAATGATATAATAATTAATATTAAAAAAAATAAGGATATTTGTGATTTTAATTAAAAGATATTATTTATTTTATAAAAATAAAATTATAACATTTGTATATACGTTTTAATTATTTATTAATTAATAAATTATATAATTTATTAAATAAGATTAAATATGATATTAATATAAATAGTTTTAAAAAAATTAACAAATTTTATTACTATTATTAAATTAAAGAAAAAGTTTTTTAATAATTTAAATTTACTTTAAAAAATTTGGATATAGAATTTAATTATGAGATAATTGTTAATATAATATATTTAAACGGGTAATTAATCCTATATGTTATTAATACAGCTACCAGTTTCCAGGTAGTATAATTTTTAAGGAACGTTATTATAAAAGAAATGTGAAAAACGTTAAAGGAATATTGGATTAATACTTATTTTAGATTATTTGATATTATTTCTTATAATGTGGGCACGAACTTTAACAATCTCAAATTCTGTAATAAAGTACGGATAATTGGAATTACTTATTATTAAATATTAATAAAAGCCTATTAATTTATTAAAAAAGTTAAAAGATATTATAACTTTATTTATAAAGTATATGAAATTATTACTAATAAATTTAAGGATTTTAATTTAAAAACGTTATGTTTTTAAATAATTGTAAAAGTAATTAATAATATTGTTAATCCGGATGGCCTTATTTTAACTTTATTAGTTTTTAACGCCTACTTTAAGATCAATATGGACTTACCACCCACTGCCACACAGATCTAAAGGGTATAAGCAGTCCAAAAGGCAATAATAGAAATTAAAAAGATTAAGTTGTAATGTTTTGTACAGGACGCCCTAAACACCTGTAACGGCTTTAATACTAAAGTAACTTTCTTTATATCCTTATCCATTAAAAGTAAGGTATTAGTTTATAAGGAGAAAGGTAATTGGAAAGGATTATATAAAATTATTATAGTTATTAAAAAGGATATTATAATTATTTTAAATGTATTAAGTAATATATTTACGTTTTAAAGTTTATATATTAAATTATATATTTAATGTAAAAAGAATTTAATTTTATTAAAAGAAATTAAGATTAAATTACTTAATTTCATTTTTAATTTTAATAATTATTAAATTATTTTGGAAAAGGATTTAATATATATTAATAATTTATTATATATTATTATTTTATATATTAATATTAAAGAATATAATAACTTTATTTTAATGTTATAATTATAAGTAAATAATAAGATAATTATATTAAAGAAATTATATAAAGTATTAAATATAAAAGAATTGGATGCCTTTTTTAATAAAGGTATATTATAATTTAAAATATATGATATAATAATATATTAAAGAGTAATAATATTTAAATTATAAATAATTTAAGAAATTAAAGGTAAAAATACCTTTGTATTATATGAAAAATCATACCTAATAATTTAAAGATATAGTAATTTTAATAAGGAGTTCATAATAATATATATATTTATTATTTAAAAAGTTAATTAATAATTAATATTAATATTAATTTTTATATTTAAATAATAAAGGATGAAAATTATAATAAAGGATATTATTATAATTTATATTTAATTAAAAATATTAATATAAAGAATAATTTTTATATATTTATTAATAGAATTAAAAAATAAATATTTTAAAAGGATGTTATTATATATTATTAAATTATTATATGGTTTTATAGAATTAAATATTTATTAATTTAAAATTTATTTATATTACTATTAATAAGAATTATATATGAAATTATTAGTATTTAACCTTTATTTATTAATAATGAATATAAATTCCTTTGAGCTTATTAATCTTTAAATAGATAATATTTTAAATATAAGTATAATGGAATTTTTCGCCGCCGAGGATAAAGCATTTATTAAAATAAGGATTAAAGCACGTCCCCAAAAGATTTTAAATAACAAAATTAAAGATTTTAATAGTTCTTATATTATTATTTAAGAAAAAGATTATAAGATTATAATTATTTAAAAGGGATAAACTGAAAAATTAATGCTATTAAATATTAAGTTTTTAAATATAGTTAAGCAATTTGTGGAATAAAGGGTCCAAAGAGTATATATCTTTTCCATATATTAACCTAAAGCCATTTTTAATTATTTAATAATAATTTAATATTTTAAGTTTAGTTTAAAAAAAGTTAAAGCTTTTAATATTAAAATTAAATAGTAAATGGATAATTAATTATAAGGATTTAATTATGTTAATTTAAATCCTTAAAACTTATAATTATATATTTTTATTAATAAATTATTTATAAATAATAAAAATCTTAATTTATAAATTAATTATATTATTATTTTAAATAATAAAGGATTTATAAATTAAAGTAATAAATTTTAAATTATTAGAAATATTATATATTAATTATTTATTAAATGTAAATAAGTTATTTATAATATATTTATTAATGAAATTTATAAAATAATATAAAGTTTTAATATAAATTTTATTATTTATTATTTTATTAATATTATTTTAGATTAATTATTAATCTTTAAAGCTTTTTTTATTTTATATATTAATTTTTTTTTCCTATATTAATATTTAGTACAAATAGGAAGTATTAACGAAAAAAGATTAATGATTAACTTAATAACTTTATGGCAATTTTACGAAAACTGAGAGATAAATGATATTTATTAGATTTATAATATATGTAACTTAGCTAATATTATAATAAAGGTATTATTAAATAAGGTTATAAGATTATTAGTAGAAAATAATTAGATTAACTTACGTTTGAAAGGATGGGTAAAATATAAATAACTTAGAAATGGTTATGTGTTATTATAGTAATAAACTATTACAATTAAATGTAAAAGCTAGTACAATAAAAGATATTATATAATAATTTATTAATTAACTTAAATATAAAATGGTATAATTATAAATTAACATAAGTTAATATATAAGATAATTCTTAATTTAAGTTATTATATTTCCGATATTAATTTGTTATAAAAAGGATATAGTATATTAATATAATTATATGTTATTATAAATGCATGTTAACTTATGTGCAAAATGGTCTGTATATATATTAATACATATTTAGATTAATATAAGCGCATATTATTATAAAGTTTTATTTATTTCTTAAAATTCTTTTTTATTATGTAAATTACTTTTGCAATTAATTAATTGCGAAAAGAAAATAAAATAAGTAGTGGTTATGTGATATTGGCGCGTAAGCATTTTATTAAGGATAAAGTACCTTACTGCTAATATTAGAGGAAGAAATAATGTATCCATTATTACTGTATAAAAAGGCATTACATTATTAATTAGCTTTAAATAAATTCTTCCTTCCTTAAATATTATTAATATATTAGTTTTACCCCCATTGTTATTTAATTTACTTATTTATTGCTTTATATTATACGTACGTACTTATTAACAATAATATTATAAATTTATATTATTAATTATTAACGCAATCGCGTAATATATTAAAAAACATTATATAATTTTGTAATATATTTAATATTATAAAACTAATTTTATTAAAAAATGTAAAATATAAAAATAATAATAAATTATTATTAAAATTTAAAAATTTAAAAAAAAAACTTTTTATTAATTATTTTTTTTAATATTTAAAAATATTTTAAAAAATAAAAAAAAATTATTAATAATATTAACGTAATTAATTTAATAAATAAATAAAATTTAAAAATAAAAATATTTTTATTTTAATGTAAATAAGCTAGTTAGGAAAAGCGGGATACCAAGAAAGCGGTTAACCCATTTAAGTAAGTAATAAGAAAAATGGGTTTAAAAGTGATTACTACTAAACTCTTACTATTACTGAAATAGCAATTCTCTATAAGTTTAGGTACTTGCACCCTGTTAGCTTGCCACGCCGCTACGGAGCTCTTATCGATAGGATACCGAGATGAGGGGTTGCAACTTGCAATTACCTAGGTACGTAGGTACTTACCTAACCTAATGAGTTGAACACAGTATATCGTACGGTAGGTACTAACCTAATATTGAACGCTTCACCCCCCTCCCTCTCCCCCTTTTTCTTGAAGCCTCGCCTCGAGGTTGCTAGGTACCTAGGTAGGTATAAAAAGTATAAGACGTAGCAACATTGAACATCAACTGGTTTCGATAAAACAATTTGCACGGCTACCTACGCTAGGTACAAAAATAAACTCTACCTGACAGTTATTCTTTATTTTAAGCCATTTGCCATTCTCTCTCGATAGTAATTCTTTACCATGAGTTCGGAGCAAGAGGTCCTTTCCGGACCCCCAGCCCCTGAGCTCCTAGATGACCGGATTTGGGTTGATGGGTGCTGGGATTTCTTCCATCACGGCCACGCAGGCGCTATGCTGCAGGCACGCCAACTCGGTACGGAGCTGTACGTCGGCGTGCATTCCGACGAGGCCATCCTAGAAAATAAGGGCCCGACGGTAATGAATCTTCGAGAACGGTACGGATAGCTCTTCCCGGGTCGTATTCTAAAGATCATTCTGCTGATCTCTTTGGTTTTACATGGAAAAAAGACTTGCCGCAGTAGATGCCTGTCGCTGGGTTACTCGCTCTGTTGCATATGCACCGTACGTTACGCAGCTGGATTTCATAAGTCACTTCGGCTGCAAGTATGTGGTGCACGGCGACGATATTACGTCCGACAGCAGCGGCGAGGACTGTTACCGCTTTGTGAAAGCCGCAGGTCGATTCAAAGTTGTTAAGCGCACGCCTAGTATATCGACCACCGACCTTGTCGGCCGTATGCTGCTATGCACTAGGACGCACTTCATCAAGTCCTTAGAAAAGGTTCTCAATGGCCAAGAGGGCAGTGGCACCGAAGCCGAGAGGAAATCGGAAGGGGAAGCTATGTTAAACCGAATTCGCCAATACGCAACCGACGAGTCTGGAAAGAATCCTGGCGCGGACGTCTACTTTTGGTCAGCTTCTACTGCCGCTAAGACGGAAGCTACGGAAGAGGATGGCTCGTTCCGTCCGTTGTTGAAGGGACCCAGCCCGAAACCTGGCCAGAGAGTTGTCTACGTTGACGGTGGTTTCGATTTGTTTTCTAGTGGGCATATCGAATTTCTACGTCAAGTCGTTCTTGCCGAGGAGAGACTAGCCAAAAAGGAGGGATGGTATGATCAGCAAGCCGTTGATGAGCGCGTCGGCAAAGGCGCGGATTATGGCCCTGTTTTTGTTGTTGCTGGAGTCCATGATGACGAGGTTATCAACTACTGGAAAGGAGTCAACTATCCGATCATGAATATCTATGAGCGAGGTCTATGCGTGCTCCAATGTAGAGTATGCAAACCCTCCTTTTTTTACTTTTCTTCTCGAAAATATCTCGCTAATGATTACCAGTATGTCAACGCCGTTATCTTGGGCGCTCCCTTCTCACCGACCAAATCTTACCTCACGAGATCTCCCTGGGGCACCCCTGACGCCGTATACCACGGACCAACAGCGTTCATGCCGCTCTCATACGACCCTTACATAGTGCCAAAAGAGATGGGCATCTTCCAGGAGGTTCAAAGCCACGAATTTCAGGATGTAAACGCGGGTACCATTGTACAGCGTATTATGAGGAGCAGGGACCTCTATGAAGAGCGCCAGAGAAAGAAGGGTATAAAGGCCACAGGTGAGGCCGCGCACCGGCAGAGGGAGATTTTGGAGGAGGAACAGCGGCGCAAAGAAGAGAAAATGACTTCTTCCACGTAGAGTGGTATTAGACAACGGGCAGATTGCATTGTATGCGATACATAAGTGATCAATAGAAGAACAGGTATGTATAAAGCCATAGTAACTTAATAAACGTTGGGTACCTGTCCTGGCCGGAGAGAATCATAGCGAGTCGCTTTTTCATAGAAGCTAGATAGATCTCATGGTTACATCAAGTATCTTTTCTTACTAAATCACTCTAGTTATTTTCTATCCATCTATTTTGACATTAGCATGCGAATTGGGACAGCTTGGAGCACATATTTCGTCGTATAGTCTGAAATAAGACAACTTGATATTACAATACATACCTGTTTCCACTCGATAATACCGATTACAATTAGGTATTTTCCTTTTCTAAATCTCTAACAAATTATTCTCGGCATTTCGATTCCATTTTGTGGCAGATCAGATGATTAGTCGTGAGAAATTCAGGCTCCACATTCGAGGAAGTAGAAATAGGATACAAGTCTGACGTGAGCCTACAAATAAGCGGTATCTTAGATGAGACGATAATATAAATGTACCTAAAGTTATCATACTAATTATTCTATTTTTGATCTACCTAACTAGTCCGTCCTATAGTATGCGATATAGGCGCCTACTTATAATTGCTAGCTAAGTTGTTGAAAGTGGTGGAAAATAACTCAGCTGCCTCACCTTACGCTGACGAACCAAATGACACAACTTCAAGGCTACGAATCAAATAGATCTGAGAATCGTATCAAGATTCCATAGAGCCCAAGAAGGTTAAAAAAGAAAAGGAGGGGGGAAAGGAGGGAGAGAGAGAGAGAGAGAAAGTGTGTATGTGTGTATGTGTGTGTGTGGATGAGCGGTGAGGTTATCGTAAGTAACTGCTAAGAAAATAAAAATGGATTTATAACATAAAGAAATCAATGATGCATGCTGAGTACAAGGTAATGTTAGTAACACAAGTTCGAGTCAGCGAGGTACGAATAAGCACCTTGTCTGTCGCCCTGCCTTAGGTAGGTTAGGTACCGAAGGTACATGTACCTAGAGTTGGGGAGCTTGGACTAACCGGTCTGGTACACTATGAGTCTTCCAGAAGGAGCCAACGAATATTGATCTTGGGTGACGTGACTGTAGACCAACAGGTTTCACAAGCACTTCACTGTCTAATGTTACGATCTTCTAAGATATGGTAAGGTCTATGTGTACTATCAGTCGGCTTCGCTTTCTTTAATTTTTTTCCTTAATTTTTAATCAAGTTGCGCGATGTATTCGGAATAGGCGCTGGATTGGTTAGAGTTTAAACGCTTGGGTGGGTGCCTGTAGTTGTGTCTGCATCATGTCAAACCATATTGCACCATTTAGCATCCAGCTTATGATCCTAAAAAAAAAAGTTAGAGCCATGTACCGTTCAATAGGTATAGGTACCTGCCTAACCTTAAGGCACTGGAAGGCTGCAGATTTCAGCAGGTACCTCAAGTCGTATGGCACGGACGTTTTAGAGGTCTGTGCACCATTCTGGAAGTCGCCAAGAACGCAGAGAACAGGCAGAGAAGGCAAAGAAGCTCCAAGGGAAAAAGGAGCTGGGGCCTTAATTTTTAGGGTCTTTTTACAACGCTTTAACTGGGGAATGGCATCTTAAACAAGACCCACTCCCCCAAATTCCAAAGGGCTAAGACCAAGCGTTGTTCGTGATCGTCTTTCCTTTTCAGACCCGACGCAATTCATCCCCTCAATCGTCACTCTTTTGCCACAGACAACCTGACACATTCGGACAGGAACACGATCTATACGCTACTATTCTCATTCTACTACTATAAGGTACATTACAATACAATTCTCAGAAAGGAATTAGTATTCGTACGCTATTTTCGATTTTGTGTCCTGTATCCTATATCCCCTTTCACTTCTCCCGTCTCCCGTCTCCCGTCTCCCGTCTCCAGACCTGCCAGAGCGAAAAAGGGGATTGGATTGATTGACCTCATCTCATCTCAACCCCTCTTCACTCCCCTCCGTATCCCGTATCCCGTATCTCGCGTCTTCCTACAACATCTTACCTGGACGGACTTCTTGGGGCTGGGAACTGGAGCTGTGCTTGTAACTTTGATCAGCTCAAGTTCACGGAGGACTGTCCGCAATATCATCAACCTAAAAACAGTCACGAGCAAAGTCAGCTGTGCCGGGCTGTGTGTCGACTACGTACATCTCAATAGTAAGTAAAAGTAGCTGTACCTGCATCTTTATCTCCATCCCCATACCCCCCCTTCCCTTCTCCCCCTTATCTCTATCCATCTATAGCTATCGTTCTTGTACCTTTGGCTTGTTCGAGTCACCCTAGTTTATTCAGCTGCCGTCCTTCCAAAATTTCCCATTCTTCTACCTATATACCTCCTCTTTCGAGTTGATTTTCATTTCCCACCCTGCCATTACTACCGTTGCCTGCTTACGCAGCGCCCACCATACTCCTATTTGTATCTTCGCCATATTTTGGAGCATAGCCTCATTCTATGTGGTACCTACTACCTACCACGTCCAGCTCTCCCTTAGCACCCTGTCGTTCCCCAGCTTTCCTCTGACGAGCGATCTGTCGGCTAATCCGAGTTGGATATGCTAGCAACGTGAATTCCTTAAGCCCAAGGCCAAGAACCAGCAACACGTATATTGCACCCATATCATCTGAGGTTACTCCCAAGGTAATATTCCAATTAATATTCCCCGTCGCCCATTCTAGTCCGGATATTCCACACTCGAACCACATCTTCCTATGTATACCCCTAGCCATATAAAGTAGATATCGAATCGTCAAAGCATCTATTGGTTGCCTTAACTCTGTCTCTTTTGCCTTGGACACCATGGCTCTGCCTATTGCTTACCAAAGAGAAATAGAAACACTTGACAATCAAGTCCGGTTAAGAAATCCGCCAGATATCCTACAGTTTTGCTCCGAATATTTCCTTCGTCGTCTCGCCGACGAACGCGCTACTTATCTCAAAACGCGAGGCGCTTCCTCACTCAATAGAACCTACGCTATGTCTGGAACTACATTCACGAGCCCTTTCGCGGCGAACTCTAACCCATTCAATAACGGTGGGGCTAAATCCGAGTCTGGCAGAAGCACACCGCCAGGTTTACTAAATGTGGTTGAGGAGGACGAGAACGATACTATCACATCCCCCACAACACCGTCATTACGGCCTAGTACATTTGTGTCTACTATACCCAGTGCTTCCTTCCGTGGCCCCTTCGGTGGCTCCTTAGACGGATCGCTAGACGGGCCTCCCTCCATAATGAGAACCCCGCCAAATCCTGATAGTTATCCAGCCCAGTATAACTTTGGCCGTCGCACCTCAGTTTCTGCCGAATCGCTGAAACCTGTGGCAGATGTTAATGACAACTGGACCCCGCCGTCCTACCCTAAAACGAGCGAGCAGCTCGAGAGGTTGAAGAAGGCTATCGAAGGGAACTTCCTGTTCAGTCACCTGGATGATGAGCAAAATGATCTGATTTTAGGCGCTCTGCAGGAGAAACCAATCCCCGCAAAGGATATCAAGGTATGTGTCTTCCCCCTCTAATACTTATGTTGAAAGCTAACGATCGCATAGGTTATTACCCAAGGTGATGCGGGTGACTACTTTTATATCGTCGAGAAGGGTTCTTTCGACGTATATGTCAACGATGCGGGCTCACTTCAGCCCGGTCCTGACGGGATGGGTAACAAGGTGGGAATCATACAGGCTGGGGGCTCTTTCGGTGAGCTAGCCTTGATGTATAATGCGCCGAGAGCCGCGACTGTCATTTCGGCCGAGCCTGGTTGCACATTATGGGCGCTTGATCGCGTTACGTTCCGACGGATTCTTATGGAGTCCACATTCGCACGTAGGCGTTTGTACGAAAGCTTCTTAGAAGAGGTACCACTTCTCTCTTCTCTCACACCCTATGAGAGGTCAAAGATCGCCGATGCGTTAGAGACCAAGAAGTTCCCCAAGGGCTACACGATTATCAAGCAAGGGGATATTGGTAACTCATTCTTCCTCCTGGAAGACGGCGAGGCAGACGCTTTCAAGGACGGGTGTTCAGAGTCAGTAAAGCACTATAAAAAGGGTGATTTCTTCGGTGAGCTCGCGCTCTTAGATGATAAGCCCCGTGCTGCGAACGTCATTAGTGCTACTGAGGTCAAGGTTGCGACTCTAGGCAAAAGTGCGTTTCAGAGATTACTTGGTCCTGTCGAGGGCATCATGAGAAGGACCAAATACGTGGGTGTTAAGTCAGGGGTCGAAGACGCTGACCCACTAAACGGAACATATTAATCAACTGCGCATTTTCAAAGTATAGGCAGTGGAAATTAGACAAGACATATGATACTAGGAAAGGGGGCAGTTTAGACGACGGATGGCAGCATTCATTTCGGAGGAGGCGTTCTCGGAATTACCCTCGTTTTCCGTATTAAATAGGACTTATGATAGCTTTTGATACCGCAACAGAGGCGTTTTACCTACTAGAAATTTTTCCTCTCGCAATTTAGCTAAAGTTTTATGATTTCCCAAGCGAGTCAGTATCATGTTTCCTCTAATCCCAGCCTTAGCGCCTTCCGACCGCGTGCTTTTAATCGATATTCCTTTGATTGTTCTTCTAAATTTCGCGATAAATTCACCCCTCTTTGTTTTTCAAGGACTTGCTGCCTCAGTCCCTCAGTAGCAATCTCGGTTTCGAGAACCCTACCGACACCACGTCTCCAAGCTTCGTCCAACCCCTTCAGTTCGCCACCAACCTCATCCTGTACGCGCTGACGTTGGATGTTGACGAGGTCAATCTCTTTCTTGGTGGAATCGAGCTCGCGCTCAAGGTCTCTCAGCTCGGCCTCAAGCTGCCAGTTACCAACCAGCCAGGCGTTCTTGCCGAAGCTGTCGAGAAGCTGCAAGTGAGCGTGGCGGCCCTCGAGGTACGTCGCCGCGGCGTAAGCGCGCGAGAGCTCGGTTTGGATTTGGGATGGGTTGGAAGACGAGGAGATATCGGACGGGTTGGCAGCTTCGTACCGAGATAGGTCGATGGCGCGGAGGGGCTGTTTGGAGGCGATGCGTGCGAGTTCGGCGGTTATGAGGGGGCTGAAGGAGGGTTCTGGGAGGGGAGGGAGAACGAAGGAGGGAGATGGAGAGTTGGCAGAGGAGGATTGCAGTTCGGAGGCGATGAGAAATTCAGCGGCCGCGCGCTCGGCGTGTGTAGGCTCCGGGTCCACGTCTGAGGTGATGTGTTAGTTGTAGATAACTACTAAGCGGTATGAGAGGCTAGGGAACCATACATGGGAGAGACTCGTGGACTGTGGCGCGGATGGAGGACATGGTGGATATACTGAGCTAAAGGAGCTGCTAGTGGGCTAGCATACGGGTATCAATTATATTAGGTACATGTATGTAGGTAGGAGGTATGTATGCGCTTGTATATCAATTGCTAAGATATAATAATTGAACGTTGCAAATAGAACGCGATCGCGATCGCGAACGGGGAATTTTGATGATGGTTATCGTTATCGAATCTTAAGTAGGTACATATGTACATTAACTACAAGTAGTTAGATACATGTATGAGGTATTATCTAGACTCGTTTTGACAGGTGCCAGCAGCTGTTAGCAGCTGCGTTGGGCTTGAGGAGACGCGAGGGAGACGCGGCACTGAAATGGTGACCCCAAATTATCTACCTAGGTACCTAGACAGGGTGGGGATTCGCAGCAGGGGTCCAGCTTCTACAGTTAAATACCTATGACGTACATACATGTAGTATACCTGCGGTAAGTACCTAGGTAGGTACCCCCATGCTTGCATTACCTTAAGGCTTAGGTACCTGTATCATTTACATGTACGCAGTTCTGTACCAAGTAGGTACCTCTCCAGATTACCTACATACCTACATGTACCAGGTAGGTAGAGGTAGTAGGCAAGTTAGCAGGCTGGCAGGTTACCTGACGTATTATACGTTTGTGAGTTTCGCGATGAGTGAAAGAAAGCATCATTTAACTCGTTCTTTCTTAGTTAATCTCAATCCCATATTTATACCCAAATCATGTAAGTCGAGATATCAAAACGAAATAACTTAGGAATGATCCTGTTATAGCATTTGCTCCAATCGCCGCTTCAGCCCTTCCGGTTTGCTGTGCTGAATGACTCGTTTGCCAGTCCTTGGACAGCTCACCCCGACTGCAAATACAGGGCCGTATTTAAATAGGAAGTTTTAGGCTGCTCGACGCCGTGTTATATACAGGAGATAGCCAAGATGTCCAGAGACCAAGAAAGCGAGAAAGATAAGAATTGCTCTCCATTACTTCTGGGAGTACAACTAGATCACGACTCCGATACTCGAGCTCGAGGTAGCCGAATATCTAGGTTTCTTATAATATTCCTACCATTTGCGATACTATTCTCGATCGCGTGTCTCCCATCGGAGCGCTTAACACAGAGTCTTAAGCCATGGCCATCTTACTCGGGAGATGGTGGCTGGAAGGCAGAGTCGCGTTACAGAGACGATGAATACCTCATCGGAGTTGGGAAGGCTGATATAACTGGGTAAGCCCTTATACAAATAGAAAACTGTTGTTAAAGATGTACTTACATTCTGTTGGTGGCAGTCCTTGTGTCGAGATCAACTTAATGGGCTATGCTGATCTGCATCAAATCGGAACTGGTTTGCGACAACGTCTCCATTCGCGAGCATTTATCATAGCCGACCCTGTCAATCCGTCAGATAGATTCATATACCTCGTGCTCGACACACAGTCTGGAGATACAGCTGTTCGGTATGGCATCTTGTCGGGATTGCAGGAACTTGGACCGGAATATGCGGTATATGGCCATCACAATCTAGCTGTGACTGGTACCCATTCACATTCAGGTCCTGGTGCTTGGCTTAACTATCTGTTACCTCAAATCACGAGTAAAGGATTTGATCAGCAGAGTTATCGGGCTATAGTTGATGGTGCTCTATTGTCCATTCGACATGCGCACGAAAGTCTCACGCCGGGTCATGTCAGTATTGGATCCACCAAAGTCTTCGGGGCCAACATCAACAGGAGCCTTTTCGCCTACCTTGCCAATCCGGAGGAAGAACGTGCGAGATATAACATCAGCTCCGAGGATGACGGATCAGTAGAGAAGGACCTCACGATGCTGAAATTCCAGCAAACCTCTGATGGCAAAAACATTGGCGTACTTACTTGGTTCCCTACGCATGGTACCTCTATGCTAGGAAATAACACATTGGTATCGGGTGATAATAAAGGGTTGGCGGCATATCTATTCGAGAAAAGCGTCATAGGTGATAACACTGCTGCGGAGGAATTCGTCGCCGGCTTTTCTCAAGCCAGTGTTGGCGATACCAGTCCCAATGTTCTTGGGGCCTGGTGTGAAGATGGTTCAGGGCAGACGTGTAGTTTTGAGAACAGCACCTGCAGTAATGGTAGGTCTCAGCATTGTCATGCGCGGGGTCCCCTTTTCACGGTTGACGACCAAGGGACGTCGTCATGTTTTGAGATTGGTAAACGCCAATTCGAACCTGCAAAAAAGCTCTACGACCAGCTTAACCAGGAACCAAATCCAATTCGAGGGGGTAGGGTGAAATCCTTTCACACCTTTCATAATATGTCCAATCATCAATTCGAACTACCTAATGGAACAGAAGTCAGAACGTGCCCTGCTGCACTAGGTTACTCCTTTGCCGCCGGAACGTCGGACGGACCTGGTGTATTTGATTTTACTCAGCATAACAACAATGCATCAAATACCTCCCCTGTATGGCGTGTCGTTGGCGGCATACTTAAGAACCCAACACAGGAACAAATCGCGTGTCACGCTCCGAAGCCCATCCTACTCGATGTTGGCGAGGTGTCCACCCCATATCAATGGACTCCCAACGTAGTCGACGTACAGGTCTTTCGCGTCGGCCAATTAATAATCATTATCAGTCCGGGCGAAGCAACGACTATGGCTGGACGACGCTGGAAAAATGCAGTTGCCAATGAGACCACGGCCTTATTCGCAAAAGAGGCTCTATCAGCTTCCCCCGTCGTCGTTCTTGGCGGACCTGCAAATAGCTACACGCACTATATCACTACGGAAGAAGAGTACGGGTAAGTAGACTTATTGCTCCTCCAGCGCAGCTGCTATCCGTTGCGCTTTTTTCTTCTTTTTCTCGTTTTGCTTGTTTTTATCCTGGCCACAGAGTTTGCCAGTACTATGGCACCTTCGTGGAGGTTTTCGTCATTCTTATCATGCATCAAAATGTCTGTGTGGACTCATCACCTCCTCTCTCCCCTGACTTGAGTGTAATGCAGGGAATTTTCATGAGATACAGTAAGACTCACTGTCCGTAACAGAATCCAACGTTACGAAGGTGCAAGCACACTGTACGGATCACATACCTTGGCAGCATACATTAACGTCACATTATCATGGGTGTCGTCCCTGAGTTCGACAGCTAGCAGCCACCCGCCCAGAGGACCAGAACCACCGGATAACAGTAATCGCAGTCTCAGCTTTATCCCTCGTGTCATTCATGATTCACCACCGCTTTTTAGAAGTTTTGGCGACGTTCAGCAAGACGTAGAAGAGAAATATCAAAAAGGCGCACAGGTGACTGCGAAATTCGTCGGGGCCAACCCGAGGAATAATCTCCGACTAGAGAGTAATTATGCCGTTGTAGAGAAACTTATCAACGAGAAAGATAGGAAATGGAAAGTGGTCCGTGACGACAGCGACTGGTACCTTGTGTTCCGGTGGCGCCGCACCAGCGAGCTGTTAGGGACTAGCGAGGTCGAAATAACCTGGGAGGCAGCGGACCCGTGGGCGGAGCCGGGGCGCTATCGGATCCGGTATTTTGGCGATGCCAAGAGCTTGGCGGGACAGATCATCGAGTTCGAGGGTGTGAGTGGCGAATTCGAACTTGTGGATGACGATGGATGGTCGATCGAGAAGTAGTGGGGCGACCAATAGTTGGTTCCACCCGGAGCTCCGGGAGGCTTCTGTTTATTTACTTTAGGTGGTTAAAACAACAGGACGGGTACTTGATATCATCATAATGTTACGGCAGGGACTCATCATGCATACACGATAGAACGTACTACCTAACTATGCGAAGCTTAAGGGGGGCATATTATATTGATAGTGAGGATGTACGACGTACAGTCCCGTCAGTGGCGCTTTAGGTTTTGGGCGACATGAAAAGGGAAAAGAAAACCGGTAGCAATGCAATGCAGGTCTGGACCTGTCTTTTCTGGATGAATTAGGCGAGACGTATTAATCACCCTATCACCACGACACCTCCAAAAGCGAAAGCGAAAGCAGGTCGGGAATATTTGGAGGGGCGGAGAAGGGAAGACCCCTTAAAGTCACGAAAACCATGCAGACGAGGCAGACCGGTTTAACGGCTGAGCGGCTCAGCGGTTGTTAGTGCAGGGGTAAATTGGAGATTGATCTGGTTATTTTCGTCCTTTTCCTCCCTATCTAACTTGCATGGAAATATCTTATTCCAGTCCTAGTATTATCACATACCTAGTATATTGTCTGCAGAGGTGACACGACTTTGACTTAGTGCATTTGATAATGTGCCGGGAGGTCTGTTAGTTGATTCGATGTGATATAACCCATCGATGCTGTGCCATGCAAATGCAATGCATTGTTTTCGATGCTGTACCCATCTTGCCAACCCCACGGGATTATCATCTCGTATTCTGCTAAGTTTATCCCCCTTTCTCACCCTCTTTAGTTACCTACCTAAGTACCTAGGTACATACCGTGTACGTTGGGCACCCACTAGGTAGGTAGGTAGGTGTCAGCCAAGGGTAGTCAATATTACGCCCCCCTTACGTCGTTTGTACCTGATCTATATTCAGCCTTGTGCCAAGTCATTGTCTTAAGCTATGAAAAGAGGTTAGACTAAGCAATATCTCTATTTCTATCATGTCTCTATCCTATATAAATGCCAATAAAGATGAGTCTACATGGCTAATGCAAAACAAGGCTTTAGAGACGCCTTCTAATGAACTACCAAGACAAAAAAAAAGATACGTAGCCCGGGTCCTAACACCGTCTTCGCTTAGAAGATGAGAGAATCTGTAATGTATACCTATACTTGTCCACGCATGCTTTACTCGGGAAACGCTCAGCAACGAACCCAGTTGCATATCTCCTAGCATACTTGATCCTTGCTTACTCTAAGGAACAACTGGAATGCGCGAGTCTCATACGTATCACCATTTGGAACGCGCGTCGCGGAGAATTTTTATTTTCGTCTGTCGTTTCTCCCTTTCTTTTTTCTTTGCCTTTGCGTTCTGGTATAAGAATTACGCGCGTAGAATTTGGGAGGCGGATGTTTGGGTATCAATAATGTATTAACAGAACAGGAGCGCGTAATTAACCAGCTACGGCTGCTGAATAGGTGAACATAGTATATGTGTAAGGGGAGCGAGAGTTGTGAAGCTGAAGGATAAATGCGATGGATGCTGGGATTAATAACAAGTGTTCATGGCTGAATTCCGTCTCTCATATCCTTGCCTTTCCCTGCAAGATGGCAAATATACCGAAATATGACCTGACAACAAGAAGAAAAAAAAAACAAAGGGATCAATAACCCCCGCCTCCCACCTTTTAAATTCTACCATATGCTTGAAAACAGCTATGGCAATGCCAACAGTGCAAAATGGCCACCTGCTACAGGCCGCGCTGTGAACTGAAGACCGCCAGGATAGTCCCCAGTAGCGGCGTCGTATAGATCGGTAAGCGGCTTATTTGTGGGCGTAACATTGATCCAGTCAGCAACGAGGCCGATGATGGTATCCCTGGTCTCTTTGCCGGACGTAGCCGCAGCCCATAGCATCCAGTCCGTCTTGGTGTACGTGTGGCGTGTGTCGAGCGGCAAACCATACTTCAGTGCCACGGTCGGGTAGAAGTTGGATTGAATGTCATACACTGACTTCGGTACAAAGTCGCCAAAGCCCAGCAGCGAGTTCGCGTACAGGTTGTACAATAACCCGTGCGAGTCTCCGTCTCCGTAGCTCAACGTCGCGTGGGGTGGGTTCGCTGCCGTGTTCAGTCCGAATCCCTGCCACTGCTCGATGTACGAGGTGGCCTTATCGCCAAATGACTTGGCGTCCTCGTCGTGGCCTGTTCGCTCCGAGATCTCAGCCATAGCCCTTAGACCAATTATGCCCTTGAGTCCCAGGTTTGTCTGGTTAGCGAGAGAGCCTGCGAAGTCGTCTGTGGAGATTTGGTCTGCAGGGATCAAGGCCTCGTCTACTAAGTAACCTGCCCATTGCTTCAGAATGGGGTAGTGCTGGGCGAGGTAGTCGTTGTCGTCGGTGCGTTGTGCGTACGCCAGCACCATGATGATCATGTTGCCGCATTCCTCTAGCGGCATGAGCTCATCGTTACCGGCGGGGTAGCCTTTAGCCACGGGGAAGGTACCGAGGTCGTGGATAGCGTTGGTGTTAGGGTAGTGGCCATTCTCCTGGTTGATGAACAACGGCTTGAGCAAGTAATCGATGAGGGAGGGGTTCGTGTATAAGATCAGCGGAATGGCGGGAAAGATGACGTCTACGGTCTGGATATCGCTGTTTGAGCTGATCTCCTTAAGGAATACCAGAGGGTCTGAGTCGGTGCCTGTAAATTGCAGGGCGCCGAATGTCTGCCTGACACTAAGACTGGTTAAGGTCAGATAGTTCTGGCCTGCAGCAGCTAGAGAATCCGAGGCCACTTTGTTATCTAAATCTGTGGATAGCTTCGAAACCTCGTCATAGTCGTTGTAGAAGAATGTCACCTGCAATTGTTAGCCCGGCCATTCACACATGACAAGAGTGTTAATTAAAACTAACAGCATCGACAGCTGAGTCAAAGTAGCTCTGCCACAGGGCAGGATAAGTGGTGAGATCGCTTCCTTCGCCTAGGAGGTTGATTGCACCCTCCTGTGTCATTCCAAGCGTATACAAGGTCGAAACGGTGGATGAGCCGACAGAACCTAGGTCGCTAGCAAATCCAAATACCGGCCTGAGGGGAAGAAATGAGTACCCAATAGAGGGAATAAAACTATAATCAAAGGGCCTATCGTGACATACCAGCGATCCTGTACGGCTCGGAAGTTGAGATCTTTGGTGTTGGGAAGAACTCCGTCCTTGATGAAAGCGCCTCTTACATCGGTGTCAGCGCCGATTTGCCACGAAACCTATGAGATCATATCAGTCCTGCTAAGCGTTGAGTTATTAGGACGAGCAGTGCGCTCACGTTGTCCTCATCTTTGGTGGACCAATACCAAGTTCCCCAGTTTGCTTGCTGGTTGGTCTCGGAAATCGCCGCCTGATTTTGACGCTCGAATTGGTGGTACACGACTCCATCGGCAGATTTGTAATCCCATTCGATAACGGCGTTGAGATCACCGGAAGCCCATTCTGCGAGTAATTATGAGTAAACACATCAACTATGAAGCTGACTTGCCCAACTCACCAGCTGAGACATCAGCGTATAACTGAACGTCATGGCTAGCGTCATCCAGCGAGTGAACGCCAACGTCGAGGTAAGAGAATACCAGAGATTGTCGTTTCAAATCGGTCGGCGTTACGGGCGACAAGAAAGTGATATTCATCTCAACTTTGCCGCCCACGTTCATCACAAACGTGCTCCGTGTCGATGTGTAAGAAAATTCAGTTTGATCTACCACATCCGCGCCGGGTGGCGCACCCAGCCAGTTGTACGCCTTTCCATCTACACGGATGAAACCCGCCCAGCCCGTGATTTGTTGGCTATCGTAGGGAAAGTTAGCTTATGGAAAGGAGCAAATTGCAAAATTCGCGGGAACGGGAAGCAGACCTCCAGAACTTTGGCCATTCACCGGCGAGATAGCCCCCGTTTCCACCGTCGCTACCGGCATTTAACCACGAGTTCAGGTATGGAGATTTGACAGCCAACGGAATTGCAGGAGGTCTTGCAGGACTAAAGCTTGACGCGGCATCAGCTAAGCTACCGAGGAGGGCCACCCCGGCCAGCACGCTTCTAAGTCCCATCGTGGATGCTGAAGTATAATGAGTAGACAAACCAAGGTATAAAAACCTGGAAAGCCTGAAAATGGGTCGGGAAGGGGGTGTAAGGGATGATGGGCAAGGTCCGATGTTTCGGAAACCTAAAGAGAGCTTACCGAAGCTGTCGAGGTATGCGATGAAATAAACTTAGAAAGGGCGAAACAAAACTTCTGCTCGAAGCTGGGACGAAGGTTCATATTTGAATAAGATTCCGAGCCACTTATCTCCGTATGAGATATGCAGGGCCAATCTGGGATCTGGAGGCGTCCAAGCTAACTGGATCAGATGGGTGGACGAATAAGGAAGGTTTCGCAGGTGTGTGGAAGCACAATGCAGACAGGGAACTGGGGGGGAACCTTAAGCAAAGGCTAGGGATGGAGAGAGAAGAAAATACCTAGTCATGAGACTGAATATATGTGCCATGCATGATCAAGTCACCATCTAAGCTGGGGCGTATTCCAGCTCTGCTCAGTCTTGGCCTACCTCACATACAACTACACAAGGTAGGGTATACCAGTGAATAAAGCCAGCCATAATTCTTCATGGCATGCTCGAGGAGCTCAGTAAAGCTGTGGTGTTTCGGGCCTTTGTGATGATATATTAGTCTATGGTAGCATGGCGTCAAAGAGAACAGGGCGGGTCACAAGTCAACGAGTCCAAGATCCAGAAACAACGGTCAGCTCGTTAGCACGCGGTAACCAGGAATCAGCTTTGTTGGAATTGAAAAGACCACGTGCGAAATGAAGGTAGTTGGCAACAACCGTCGACATAGAATACGTATAGACTTGAGTCTTAGGTAAGAGCTCGCGGAGCTATGGTGGATACCGGACGATTCACCTCCCATGGAATGAGAATTAGCTGTGGGGACTTGAAAGCAATGTTTACTTGGCTTGGTCGTTTGCCTGGTCGTTAAATAAGGCCGGAATGTGCCGGTAGGGCCGTAGGTCTCACCCGGAAGAGGAAGGAGATCTGCGGGCCGTAAGAGGAGTATTAGAGAGAGGGCACGTTGGTATGATCCAGTGACCTTACACTATTGTTGAATCGGGCCACCCAACCGTCTAGAGCCGTCGATTTGCCGTCGTTGTCTCTCGCCCTGACCCAGGGAATGATGGAATCGACAAGCAAGTAAAGACATTTTGTATCGTCGGCAAACTTGATGTCGAGCATTCTTACCCGCAGATTTAGGAACCGCAGTCAGCCGCTGTGAACCCGCACCTACTCGCGTTTGGGAACGAAAACAAACCCATTTCGGATGTTTACTACCCCAAACATAAAAATCCAAGCGCGTATCACGCCGCCACGTCAAAGCTAACACTGCTGCCATGATGCAGGTCCCGAAAGGCTTATTAATGTTGGAGCATATATAGCTCCAAGGCTCTATTGGATTTAGACCCTAGTTGAAATTACTTACCTAGGTACTTTCAATATTGTTTCCCTACTCGAGAGTCGAGACAGAGTGCATGATCAATCAAGCTAACGTGGTTTGGAAGGGCAACCACCCAACTTCCTAGTTCCGGGTCAAAGCTAACCTGCCATTTCCGGATCTATTCTTAGTCTGATTCGCCAAGGAGCACACAGTCCTGAAAATTTTCCTATACCTAGCATGCCTGCATACTCCCGAAGAAGTAAGCTTACATGCGTATGTATATTGGCATCGCGGCCGGCACTTTGAAAGAGCTTGGAAGCCTCGGCAGCCTCAAACTTTAATTCGGATCATTGGGCTGCGCCGCTTCGCACCTTGCTCCATGGATCCGTGGAGAGTTATAGAGACAGACATAAAGTAGCTCCCGTTGTTTCTGGTTTTCAAGCTTTTCTAGGGAATGCAGGCTTGGCATACTGTGTTGCATCTTCCATATAATTGGTTTTGGAGATCTCGTGTCTTGCTTCTAAGATATTTTCCGCAGTCTTTTACTGTCATTTGAGGCTTGGTGGTCCTTGGTGGTCCCTTACATGAATATTGGTTGGCTATCCCAATACTTCCGTATTCCGCAGAGGAAAGTGAACCAATAGTCGTTATGGCTGCTCAAGGGCCAAGGCACCGAACTAGAAGCACCCAAATGTTTGTTGTTCTGCTAGATCCTATATAAACCCCAACCCAGCCGGTATGTGGGGGATCGGCGACTGAGACAAAGAAGTATAGAACTCAAACAACACATTCCTAAGCAATAACATTGCCATCAGTTTCGTTTCTAAAATCGTAGCCAAGGATTTAGTCGATGATGACAAGCACCTAACCTAGGTAGGTAGGTAGGAATGGACTTATAGCACTGCAGAGCTAAAGTCGCACAGGCTCCTTGATGTACTTGGCAGAGCATACCTCTGACAACACATACACCTGCAAGTAAAGTCGGTTGCATTTAGCAACCGGCGGTGACGCTGGGTGCCCGAGGGAAGGGGGGCAGCGCGGGGCAATGAGATTGTGACCATTACCCCAACGGCCTCACGTGTCGAGGATCTAACAGTCTTATTCTCACCTCTGCCAAGTTTTCCGCCAGAATCGGGGGTTTCTTCTAGCTCACGGCGACAATCCGGGGAAAGCGTCAATGGCTGCTGGGATAGGTCGGTTAGATTTCGCACATGAGGTAGAAAAAAAAGCGTTTTTAGGAGGAAGATCATGGGATCTTAGCGTTGCATTCGTGCCGCGCGTCCAAGAGTCTTTTTTCTTTATTTTTTTTTCTCTCCTTACGATCCCCTTTCCCAGTCCCTCTGATTACCTAAAGTACTTGTCTCACGATATAGTCAAGTCAGTATTTCGTGTGAATTCGGCCGATTAGGTGCCGTCTTCATGGAAAGAGTGTGCCATACTAGGTCTAGCCAACCCCGGTAGCCTCAGGATGACGGAGTAGCCCCAACTGTCGGTAAGCCTTCCCCGTACTACCCCGCAATAAGGATTTCCTATAGCTTTGTCCCCTCTAGCTGGCCCCGTGGTTCCCTTCCAAGACCGAGCTGTCAGCAAGGCGTGGCCCATCATGTATGAGCGGATATTACGCCTGAAAATATGAGGTCATTACCGTATACCTGACCAACGCCCGTCCATCTCGCTTTACAACGGAAACGTTACAGGTCCACTTGACAAGCCAACCCGAGGTCGTGGGTGCCGCATACGGTAGCCCTTTAACAGCTCTAGCCTCGTGCTTCGGTTTAGGGTTGTCCTTTTGTCCGAGCTGGAGGTCCTGGGCGATACAGCCAAGAGGTTGTCAACCATGGATTTCATGCTGAACTTCCGAGCCAAAGACGGTGTCCATTTACTCTCCACGGACCTGCCGCATTGGGCTGGGCTACTTCGTGTCGGGGTAGTAGAATGTCGACATATTGTTATACAAATAAAGTGATATCTTATAAGAATGCTAGATCTAATGCTCACATGACTAATAGGTAACCTAGTAAGAAGGAGAGTGGTATTTCTGTCAACACTGCTTCAAGTTCTGTTCGGATGACAGGTGTTTAAGTTAACTTCAAGTAAATCGGTATCGCCGATTGCGGTGCCAGGGGCTTGATTTTAGAATATTAGATCTCGGGTTCCGGGTTTTCGAAACGAGATAAGATGGTAGCAGGTGATTGAAACGAGCGTGGGATGCTTTGATAACTCTGCTGCTAGTGAGCGTTGTAATTGCATCATAATAATGTCTCTGATGTTTCGTAGAAGCCGCGAGACGAAGTTCGCAACGACGCATTGTACCTACATTGCATTGCATTGAATCTGGACGGACGATGGGGGCCATGCATCATCTTACGCGTATGGGCCATAGATCTGGCCTTTTTGCCGAAAAATATTCGTGTCGCTAGTGTTCCAGCCAAAAAAAAATAAATGGTGAAGAGAAAGCCTCGTATCATCTTAGATGCTGGTTTGAACATCTGACATATGAAGCCCCCTGCGGGCGGTGACCATTCGAAACGGGTGGGGGTATAATCATACCCCCTAGAAGCAGACGCATGTATCGTGCTGAAGACCAAGAACTTAGGTATTGACTGAGTCTTCATGTTTCGAGCTGAATTCTGGTTACTGACATGCACACTAGTAGAATATGGTTCTGCTAGTCTTGCCCTTTACAAGCCTTTAGTGTAATATAGCGGTAAGCTTTTAAGTGTTGATACCCATACAAAAGGTATCGTATCCCTGAGCGGGAAGGTTCAGGGGTTTGATATTCTCCGACAATCTGTATCACACCATTGGCCTAAATCAGGTTAAATAAACCTACCTGTTAATATTCTCCACAGTCAGCGTGTATAGGTATTGCAACCTGTCCGGCTACGAGCATAGTTATGACTAGCTAAACTGAGTTTTATTCTTGCCCGCGTTTTCCAGCATCCTAACTCGTCCAAGAAACCCTGAGATGCGATATTCGGACAAGAGCCAGCGGATTACCTAGCAGGGGATATATGTATAGATCAGTGATGGTCGATATGCCCAAACTTCAGACAGTGAACATTAGAATGGTGGATACGCCTTTGTTGCGCTACACAATGACGACTGGTGGCTTGATTGTGCGCATTGGTTTACCGTGCTTTCAAGCTTTATAAGATCTTCCCTATGAGAAATACGGGGTGGCTTCACTTGGCTGGTGTACGAGAACGTAAGGACATTCCCTACTCGGTTGGATTACATAGTAGATGATGAGGTAGTAGGCTCGTTCTTTTCGCCTTTCTTGTTCGGAAGCTTAACCCCCAAGACGATCAGTAGTAGTAGTATTCCATCTTCCTCGGAAGCTAGCAGTTTCCCTGTCTCTGAGTCTCTTACTCCACCCGCGGACTCATATCCAACGGATATTCCAACCATGAGTGTGGTAAGGATCTTGCGAATATCAACGAAATAGATTTAAGCTAACAGGCAAATTAGAATTGACTTTGACTTTGACGGTAAGCGATATCACAAGTAGCACCTCACCAGTCGAGAGTATCACGTCAAGCGCCATAATCAGCGGTAGTTCATCTACAGACAGCGTTTCGTCGATCGCAACAAGCAGCAGTAATTTGCCTACTGACACTGCCGCTTCAACTGTTAGCTCTTCTGATATCTCTTCGGTTGTCAGCTCTTTAACTGTTACTGCCAACAGCACTTCTTCAGCAGACATCACCAGTACTTCTCCGGCAGGGATTACTAGTATCATTGACATTCGTAACCAATAGCACCTTGTCGCCCACTGATATCATTTCCCCTATAGCCATTGTCAATAGTACTTCGTCGTCGGCAGATATCACTACCCCAACCGTGACATTGAACAGCATTACGTCAGCCGGCCCGACCATCACGTCTCCACCGCTCCTGAACATGACTACCTCCTTCCCTCCCTTCGGGAAGCGGTGGTAATGGCGGCGATGTTCTCGACGTTACTTCCCACCACAGAAGGTGCTTCACCCATGAATGATGGCGGAAACGGCGACGGTAACGGTGGTGACAAGCCCCCCGTCGTTACTGTGACTGTCTCGGACAGCACTGGTGTTGTCACCCTCACTGTAAGTTGCCAATTACCTTAATCCTCCCTTGGGCAATTCCTAACAGTCTACGATCAGGAAACTAAGTCTGCCTCATCCGAGACCCCTGCTGAGACGGTTATTACTACTACCATCGGCATTGGCTCCTCGTCCTCGGCTGTTCCGTGACCGTCTCTAACTCTAAAGAGGAAACTTCTGCTACCCAGTCACCTGCCCTGACAATTACTGTCGGTAATGGTGGCGGCGAAAATACCGTTACTGAGACTATTAGTGGCGTAGATAGCACAACCATTATTCGTGCCATCCCTACCCCATCAATCGTCACAGAGAGCAGGATCATTGGTGGTGTAGATGGTATAACCGTCATCCGGTCTACTGTTACTGTCCCCGCCCGTCATTCGTCACCGAAACCAAGACTATCGAGCCGTCTACTGTCGCAGTTACCGGTTCAGCACCATTAACGGTCACTAAAACTATCGGCGGGGGTGAACCTACGGTGGCCAAGACTGTTGGTGGAAGCGACAGCACCACAACTGTCTTCGAAACTACCGGCGCCGACTTCACTTCTACCGTCATCAGTGTAATTACCCCTACCATAGTCTCCGCTCCTGAGGGATTATGCGCTTGCACAATTGCAAGCCCTAAATTCTAAGTAGATTAAGAGGTTGTGACGCAGGCGCCGCATTTTGTGCAGGACACTACACGGAAAGTCCATCTCTATGCAGATAGGATGGATTGTCTTGTGGCTTCGTTAACAGCAATAGTGTATATATTCTAAGAACCGGTCCTCTGATTCAATTTTTTATTTGGGCACTCAGGAGCGTCCCTTACCTATCAATCAAAAAAGAGAAGCTAGATAGGCAGGCAGAAAAGCCTGACCTAGGATGAAGGAAACACACGCATACGTTGTATATATATTATTAAGAGACTGAGATGTGAGAAAATGCTGCAAGAGGCCTAAGGCTCTATTATGGACAGGATACCTTTGCCACGGGATGGCTGTTTACAATACATGGACATGCTAACTCTTTTCTATCGACTTTTCTTTATATAAGGAGCCGGGGGCTAGCCGGAGTGCACATCCGGCATGGTAGGTAATTCATCTGCGACTACCGGTAGGGTTGAATTGAGCCTGTGTCGATGGTGTATATTTGGTATTTTATAGAGCATATAGTAGTCACGCGAGTAGCAAAGGACGCAACTAGACCTTAGTATACGAAGTTAGAGGTGGTAATGTATGTGAAAGCCGCTGTTCATGCAAGACAGCTATATTCTAGCACAAACCCTAGATCTAAGACTGTTCTCCTCTTCCTCTTCTTCTTCTTTTTTTTTAAAAAAAAAAGGACAGACGGTATAAAAACGGTAGTAAACTTGCCAGCACGTAGCAGTTTGAATATTCTATTGGATTCTTTTTAAATAGTCAGATCTTCCGCAAAACACTAAGACGCTTATACATAGGTCCGAAGGGCCATACTTACAGACTGAGCCCCGTATTCAAATTCCGATACACCTTCTCTGGATATCGTGAAGTTCTATTCAATGTCGCCTAAAGTCCAACCAAGTCAACGCTCTAGACAATGCCTCTATTCATCATTGTCTAAGTCACGCAACTACCCTAGATCTGGAATAAGAAAGTCTCCAATTAAGCAAGCTACGGTAAAGCAAGTTATGCTGTTTACTAACCCTCCCCTTTGCAGGGGTCAACGCCTTGGAAACCACGCCACAACAGTCAAGAATGTCTTAGTCCAAGCTTTGTCCAGTCGAGCCCGAGGCTCGCATATCGGTCACGACTTCATCTTCGTATTAGCTCCAATCACTCATGGGCTTATTGCACCATATTATATGCTTACAATCCGCTCCAATCCCACCCATATGGGATGCCACAAATTGAAGTGTAACATCGTCCCAATCAATAGTTGTGAGTTGGTCGTTTGCACTACCTTGTTGCTACTTGAGCTCCTTGAGCTGTGGTAGATACTTGGTGATGGGATGTGCCTCAAGCCTACAACTTAGGTCCAAATAGAAAAGAGATCACGGGGATTCCGTGGAATATCAAAGAACGGGCATAGTATATTCGTAAGTAATTATCCGGTGAAGATGTGGTCTCGGAGCCAAGCTATAGGCTCAACGTACGAGAGGCTGACGGAAGGATGAAGGAATATTCTGGTCAGCTAATATTTACGGCTTTATCCATATAAGAACCGAGGACCGAGAGCCAGAAGCCAGTCCAGTAAATAAGGTAGTGAACGTAACTATCTCATCAACTCACGAACACAAGCGCTTTCATAAGTCTAGCATCCCGAAGAATAGATGAAATAGAGTACGAAGGGGGGTTTTCAAAAGGGTATCCTGTTAATTCTACTTTACTGCAATTATAACCACCTACCTAATGCTAGGTAGCTCATAGACATGATCGTAACGACCATGAGACATGCCAAAGACGTCTTTCAAGGCCAGCTCTGCCGCCTCTAAAAATAAAGTACTAGTGTTATCCAATGAATAAATGAAATCCACGTCTCTTACCCACATTCAGAAACCTGCGGGCCCGAACTCCATCAATTCCTTCTCCGATTGAGCATCTCTCGCTACTTTAGCTCGGGAAACATTCAGAATCCAGACCAACCTCGGCTCGGTTTCACGGAGCGGCAGTTTGAATGAGAGACGCGCGCATGGTGTGATACCTTGCTGACTCCATGAACGAGCATATTCATATCTCCTAAGGGATTCGATCCGTGAGAGCCCCTACCCGTTCCAGACCCGTATCCTAACGCCCCCAAGCAGTTTTATAGGCAAAATTCTTGGAAGCACACTTCGGCCTCCCGCCATTCCATCACTGCGCATTGGAGGAGGTTCTCCTCGGTGCATTGATCTTCTTGGCGTTTGGTTTTCCTTGGTGTTCCTTGTACGCCAGCGCATACTTGCTTAAAACATATCGTGCTCTCGAGCCCTGTATCGTCGACGCATTCTCTTATTTTGTCCATAGAGCAGTTATTACTTGTGCTACTCCTAGGTGTGCTGATCTTGTTCGCTTCAGCTTCAACGGGTAGAGCCGACCCAAGAGAAGCGCATGCGGCGAGGAATGTAGCGATGGTAGGAACGGCTAGGAATTTCATTATGGTAACGGGATGTCCCTAACCCAGCCTGTTTTAAACGAATGTTTTTGGCGAAGAGCGGTCCGAAGGAGCGAAATAATGAAAAGATTGAAGAAGCGGACGAAAGCGTTAGCGAGATCTTCAATGGATGCACAATTGTGAGGATCTACATATAACGGGCAGTGATCTTCCTAGCATCTTTTTATTTATACAAGGACCTGAGCATCGTCATCAATAATCAGAGGGAAATTTTCGAAACAACTTAAGGAGACCAAACAGGGGCAACAGATCGTGAAGCAAAAGAGTCTCACTTTAACCACCCATAACGTGGATCTGAAACCGAGCTCCTTGTGCGAATCAGTGCGCCAAGGCGACGCGATACAATATCAGAACCCCTGCAGACGAGACTTCACATCAGGCCAAAACGAGGTTACGTATTATGCGAAACACGTTTACCAGTCAACCCTCATCGGAATGGTTTACGTACTATATCGTCACAGTAGACTACACGATACAAATCCTCATCCACACGATGCTAGGCTCTAGTTAGCATTCTTGAACTCCATACCGACAGCTTTAGTTTTGTGTTTCTAACGCTGAACCATCATCACGGCCTCGACCCCAGGGTCCAATGCGACTCCACCCGCATTCATTCAACTGAGAAACAGAAGTGATAACGAAGTGTGCGTCCTTGTTCGTTAAAAGATCTGCGGCTGGGATAGCATAGCTTGGCCGGCCCAGTACTATTACTACTACATATGTACCGATCTTGGCCTTGTCGCAACTAACCCCATGCCGAGTGCATTACGTACCTACATTCATTACGAGCACTACTAGGACCATGCCAAATTAAGGGATTGAAGAAACTGCAGGTCTTCAGTAGCCTCAGTAACCGATTTAGGCGTGAGGTTTTCCGTCTAGGATGTAGTGTCAAGTCTTATTCGCTTGGCATATCCGGCACTGTTGCCAGGGTAGAACATGCCTTGGAGATCCAGCTTCATGAAAGGCTTACACTTATGAGTGTAGGGGTAGCTATGGAAAAAAAAAAAGAAAAAAAGAAAAGGACATTAATAACATACATACAACTACTATTTTAGTTCATCTAGGAGTGCATAAATTGGCTCTCATCTCCAATCTCTTGCATCGGACTTTAGGTGTGGATGCTCATGTAGCTGCTACAGTATCTCCGGTATCTTGTCGGTCCTGGCCACGTAGCTCACCCCTATTGCTCTCCGCCCCGTATATAAGGACGAAATGCCCTAAACCGGTGCAGACACTCTATCCAATAGTCAGAATTGTTTATGACAAAATTAGCCCAAATCAATATGCCGCCTCCGTTACCTATACCCGTTTACATCATCGGGGCCGGAAGTATATTTCTTGGCATTAACTGCTTCCTCCGCCCGGACGTGGAATATCGCCGTTTCGGCTAGGTGACGGCATCATAGTCTGGCTCTACGGCGGAGATAAAGCTAAGGCGAAGGCTTTTGGTCATTGGGGTGCTTTTGCTGTTCTCTCCGCACGGTCTCTGTGGAGGACGCATGCGTGAACTATATCATCGGAGACGTCCGCGGATGGTGAGCTAAATGCCGACAAAGCAGGTACCGAAAACCGAGAACCGATTATAGCCGATGGCTGATGAGCGGGGAATATTTACTCTAAAACAAAGCCAAAAAGTCATCGTATATATATATCAATGAAATTGCTATTAGCATCGAATGGGGGCGGAAATGACACCGGCCCGATGCTGTGGAACAGGTTGACGATGTACCCCGCGATATTTGATGCTAGTTAGTATCCGCCTAGTGAAGAATCGTGGTTCTTCGATGTGATAGGATCCCGCGAATGGCAGTATACGTCAAAAGTCGAGATTTGCAACCCTCTCGGGAACTAGTTCATGCAAGGCGTTGCAAATCCGAGGGGATATTAAAGGTAAATCTAGAATTCCGGTGGCGACGAAAGCCGGAAGCGGCTTAGCGAACATCTTCAAAGGCAAGGGGTTGGGAAAACTTGGGGTACCCATTGCGGGGGTAATGGTATGGAGTCACCTGCGGTAGCATGGTCGAGGAGTTGGTTGAAATTGGAGATGGTATGAAGAGAGCAAACATGTTGCATGAGTTCGATCATGGGAGCTTTCCAAACAAAAGGACCACCATGGCGTAGTCCACGTGGTTAACGCTATATAAATTGGAGCTCCCTACGCAACAATTTCATCCGTATCTTTAAGGTCTGTCCTAGTATTATTCCATGGGATAGTTCCGCTGGGAAACGAGCACCACACAATCTATAGCGATGAAGTCATCTTGGGGTCTTTTTGCTGTCGTCCAGTTGCTTACCACCAAGCTTTTGGTAGCTGGTGCGCAGGACAGGACGCAGCATGTAAATCTCTTCATTGGCACCGAGGGCCCAGATCCGGGCACATCATATAACTCTGGAAATGTCTTTCCTGGAGCCAGTCTGCCTTTTGGTGCAGTCAAGGTTGGGATTGATACTGCCGAGTACGTATTTGAATAGCTCAAAGAAAAGAGATTCGGCGTTAGCCTCTCACTAACTACAACGTTAGGTTGAATGTCTCGTGTAAGTCCACCTCTAACGATGATAATTTGGAGGCACTAGTCAGGCCAGACTAGCAAGGGAAACCATATGTCAAATTTGTTTTCATTACAAACTTCGTTTGACCACCCATTGATTGCTCATTTTCGGTTCCTCTAGTTACTGCGAACGGCGGCTACACCCCAGACTCGAATGTCACTGCCATCACGATGTTACACGAAAGCGGCACTGGCGGAGCACCAACCTACGGACTCATACCTCAGATGCCACTCGCCAGCCTTCAAGACGTCAATGTACTAGACAATCTGACATACATGCAACCGAGGACCTCCCCGGACGTGGCTGAGGTTGGATACTATAAGACTCAGTTACAAAACGGCGTTACTGCTGAAATGAGTGCTGCTATGCATGCTGGAATAATCAAATACACATACCCTGAAAACGCAGATGGGCACTACGTTTTAGTAGACGTTAGCCATTATCTTCCAAGCACTGGAGATAAAGGTCAATTTTATAGCAATGGAAGAATTGAGCGCAGCAACGACGGTACATCTTATTCGGGCTATGGCGTATATCGAGGGGGTTGGTCCTCTGGTAGGTAGCTGGTAGTTACTTTGAAACAACTTGTAGCTGATATACTGACATAACAAATTCTAGGGGGTGATTATCGAGTATACTTTTGTGCCCAGTTCGATTCTACCCCGTCACAATCTCAGCTCTTTTCCGGGAGAGCAACAGATCCATACTGGCCAAGCACAACGAATTCCACGGCGACTTTTACCAACGAGATCAGCATCGATGGTGGAGTCGTAGGATATCAATATGCTGATAGGGTCGGGGCTTTATTTGAATTCCCGTCCAATATCACGACAGTTCAATCCAAAGTTGGTGTATCATGGGTCTCGACAGATAAGGCGTGTCTATTCCTCGACGAAATTCCGCACTGGAATTTAGAACATGTTCGAGATGCCGCCAAGAACAAATGGAACTCGGACGTCTTCTCCAAGATAAATGTCACGTCAACGAACCATACCGAATTGGAAATGTTCTACACTGCCATGTATCATGCTCACTTACTTCCTTCGAACAGAACTGGAGATAATCCATACTGGGAATCGGATGAACCGTATTATGACGATTTCTACACCATCTGGGATACATTCAGATGCCTCCATTCCCTCTATGTGCTAATTCAACCCAAGACGCAAATCGAGATTGTTAGAGCTCTAATAGGTATATGGCGATTCGAAGGGTTTATGCCGGATGGACGAAGTCACAACTTTAACGGGCGAGTACAAGGCGGCTCTAACGCCGACAATGTACTCGCCGATTCTTACGTGAAGGGCCTTCGAGGCGGTATCAATTGGACAGATGGTTACGCGGCCATGAAGAGCGATGCAGATGACCTACCTTACAACAATTTTGACCCTGAGGATTTGACTGGAAGTACGAAGGAAGGTCGAGGCGCGCTTCGGGACTGGAGGCAGTACGGATACGTAACTCCCAACTTTGGACGATCTCTGAGTAAGACCGTTGAATATTCATTAAACGACTTTTCGGTGTATCAGGTTGCTCGGGGAGAAGCACCAGACGACGCTGCGAAATACCTCAATGGTTCTGCGTAAGTACATAGGCCGCCAGAAGGTGTCGGTAGAAATAGCTAACTCGGTAAACAGGGGCTGGCAGAGGACCTGGGCCACAAACGTAACCTCGCTAAACTTCACCGGTTTTTTGGCGCCTACGTGGCCGAATGGTAGCTATCAAGAGTATGATCCAATATCATGCGGCTTCTGCGAATGGAGTAGTATAACCTACGAGGGCGTTCCGTAAGTGACACCGCATATATTTGTGACAGGGCTGTCGAGGCACTAATTACTATCATCACCATTAGATGGGAATACTCTTGGACTGTTCCGTTTGACATGGAGTCGTTGATCTCCCTAATGGGAGGGCCAACAAAGGCGGAGTCAAGATTAGACACTATGTTCGTACCGGGTCTTGCAGGATCAAATGTAGGCGGCAATGGCGCGGGCACGACTATCTATAATCCAGGCAATGAGCCCAGCTTCATGACACCGTTTTTGTACAACTACTTCCCAAAGCGGCAGCATAAATCAGTCCAGCGGTCACGGGAGGTCGTCGATCAATTCTACCACACGGGACCATCGGGAATCCCGGGAAACGATGACGCTGGTGCGATGAGCAGTTGGCTGATATGGAATTTAATTGGCCTCTACCCAGTTGTCACGCAACCAGTATATCTGATCCTTTCTCCCCGGTTCGATAATATCAGTGTAAGTGTTGGGGAGTCCGGCACCTTTCTAAGCATTAAGGCTACGGGGTTAATGGAAGGGCCGTATATTCAGAGCTTGAAAGTTAATGGACAGGCATGGAACCGAAGTTGGGTTAGTCACGAAGATATCGTCCGACCAGACGGAGAGGATAGTGTCTTGGAATTTCAACTTGGCGCGAAAAAAACTGCGTGGGATTATGGTGATGTGCCACCTAGTCCAGGGCATTATAAAATGTTTTAAATTTACGAAAAGTTATTATCATTATTAATAATTTTTTTTAAAATTTTATAATAATAAAATTTTTATATATAATAATAAAATAATATAATAAAATATAAAAGTTTTTAAATTAATAATAAATAATACTAAAAAATTAAAAATACATTTTATTATAATATTTTATTAATATTTATTAAAAATAAAATTTTAATAATAAAAAATTTATTTTTATTTTATATATATATATATATTTAAAATAATATATATATTTTAATAATATATTATAATAAGAAAAAGATTAAATTAAATTTTATACTTTGTATTTTTTTAATAAAATTAATTTTTTAATACTAAGCGCATTGCGAAATTATATGGTATTTTTTTAATACATTATATAATTGCATTAACAGCCGTTAATAATGTAAATCTATAATATATTATATAGAAAATTAACTTTTAAAAAAAGGATATTATTATTAAATGTATTATTAAATTAAATGTATAAATATTTTTTATTTAAGTTTTTTATATTAAAGAAATAATTAATATTTTATTATTGAAATATAATAATATAAATTATTAATAAATTTTTATAAAAGTTTTATAATATATTAAATATAATTTATATTTATAATTAATATTATAATTATTAAAAGTATTATTTTTAAAATATATATATAATTTTAATAAAATAAAATTTATAATAAATGTTATAATATTAAATAATATTAATATAATAATATTATTATATGTTTTTATATGTTTATTTATTTTTATATAATTTTTAATTATTAAATATAATTGTTTTTATATATATTGTGAAAAAGGATTTGTTTCTAGTGTTTTATAAGGTGTTTTAAGTTTTTTTTTTATGGAAAAAAATATATATGTAAGCTTTAAGGTAATTGGATTATATTTTTTAAATAATAATAAAGTAATTTTAAAATTTAATATAATTAAAATTAATTGTACGTTATTATTAAATTTTTAATTATTTAATTTATTTTAGGTATTTAAAATATTATATAATATTAATAAAGTTATTTTATAGATTTTTTATACGTGTAATGAAATTTATAATAATTATTTTTATTTATTAATAAACGTTTTAAATATTTTAAATAAAATTATAAAGATTATATATTATTTATTATATAAAGTTACTTTATGAAACGAAAAAATTATATATTTTTTTAAATATTATAAAGTTAAAAATAAATAATTATAAAAAAAGATTTTTTATTCTTAAAAAAGGAAACGTTTTACAGTTTCTTAAAAAGAAATAATAATATTAAAAATAAAATTTTAAATAAATGTTATTAAATATTTTATATTATAGTATTTATAAAAATATAAATTATAATTTAAAAATATGTTAAGTTAAAATAAAAACTTTTAATAATAAAACTTAATTATATAATTAATTAATTTAATAAATTATGGTTAAATTATAATAATTTTTATTAAAAGAATATAAAATTATAAATTCTTCACTTGTATAAACTGTTAACCCGTGGTTTACGTTATATTAAATAATTATTATTTATTTAAATATATGTTATTTATTTTAAATAATTTTAATTTTAAATATTATTATATTTAATATTAATTATATTTATTTATATAATTTTTATATTTATAATTAAAATTAATTATTAAAGTTAAATTTATATAAATAAATTTTATAAATAATATTAATAATTTATAAATGTAACTTTTTTAAATAATAAATAAAATTTATAAAAAATCTTTTTTAAAAAAAGTAAAACTTTTATTAAATAAAATAAAATAAATTATTCTTAATGAAATTATGTATAAAATTATTTTATTTTTTACATAATAATAATAGTAAAATATTAAGTATAAAAAAGTTTTTTTAATTTTAATAAAGTTTTAAAGGTAAAAATACGTATTATAAAAATTATTTTATATTATTTTTATAATTATTTTAAATATAAGGTATTAATATTTATTAAATTTAAATAATATTTAGTTTTATAAAATTAATTTTCTTTAATTATAAATAAGATTAAAAAAATAATTTTTAAATGTTATTTATTAATTTTATTTTGTTTTTAAGTTTATTTTTCATTATTAATTTTAAATTATAATATAAAATATTTAATAAAGTATGTTAAAAATTAATTTTATAAATTTATAATAAATGTTTTTTTTCATATTTTTAATAATTAATATTAATTATTAAAAAACATTTAAAATTATATTTTCAAAATTAAAAATAGGTGAAAATAATAAATTTATTTTTATTATTAATTAATATAAGTAAAGTAATTATAAAAGGTATTAAATTTTTTTCATAATTTTATTATTATTAAAAGTAATATAATTTTAAAATTTAATATAAAATATGTATTTTTTTTAACGTAAACCACAGGTTAGTAATTTACACAGGTTAACGGCTTATAATTTTAGACTTTTTTAATTAAAATTATTATAATTTAACTATAACATGTTAAATTAATTAATTATATAATTAATTATTATTATTAAAGGTTTTTATTTTAACTTAATATATCCTTAAATTATAGCTTATATTCTTATAAATATTATAGTGTTAAAGCGTTTAATAACATTTATTTAAAAAACCATCTTTAATTATTATTTTTTTAAAAGTTGTAAAGCTTTTTCTTTATTAATAATAAGAAGTTCTCCTTTTTATAATTGCTTATTTTTAATTTTATAACGTTTAAAAAGTATGTGATTTATCTTTTAAAAGTTATTAACTTTTTTTAATAAAGTAATTTTATGTAATAAATAATATATAATTTTTGTAATTTTATTTACAATATTTAAAATGTTTATTAATAAGTAAAAGTAATTATTGTAAATTTTATTACATGTGTAAAAAGTTTGTAAAATAATTTTATTAATATTGTATAATGTTTTAAATATTTAAAATAGGTTAGGTAATTAAAGGTTTAATAATAATATATAATTAATTTTAATTATATTAAGTTTTAAAATTACTTTATTATTATTTAGAGAATATAATTTAGTTACTTTAAAGCTTGTGTGCATATTTTCTCTTATAAAAGAAGCTTAAAATGTTTCATAAAATATGAGGAAAAAGTTTTTTTTGTAATATATATAAGGTTATGGTATATTAACTCCTTAATAAATAATAAATATGCGTGTTTTAAAAGTGCAAAAGTGATCATGTTTAATGGTTATGTAAAAAGTAAGTAAGCATATAAAGATATATAATATTATTATTATAATAATATTTTTAAAATTATAATAATTATAATAATTATTATAATTCCTATTATAAATCCTATTTTATTAAAATTATATATATTTTTAAAAATTATAATATTAGCTTTAAGCATAAACTATACTTAATATATTATAAGATTTTAATTTATATTATTACTTAATAAAGTATATAACTTAATTAATTTTAATATATTTGCTATTACATTTTTATAATAAAATATTAATTATTTCTTTAATATAAAATACCTAACCAAACAATATTTATATATTTAATTTAGTAATATATTTAATAATAATATCCTTTTTTTCAAAAGTTAATCTTTTACGTAATAACATTATAAATTCATATTGTTGGTAATTATTAACGTAATTGCATAATATACTAAAAGGGATATCATACAATATCGTAACACACTTAATACTAAGAAATTAAAAAACATAAAATATAAGGTTCAATTTAATTTCTTTTTTATTATAATACATTATAAATTAATTAAACAATGTATTCTTACAATACGTGTATTATTTTAAGTATATATATAAACCACTAACCCGTGTAAACCATTAACCCGTGGTTTACGTTATTTTTTTTATTAAATTTAATATAATATTATATGTTACTTTTTTAAAATAAATCGTTTTATAATTTAATTAATTTTAGTTTTTAATTAATTTTAAACGTTTATATATATTTCCATTTAAGCTTTTAACGTTTTTATTATATAATATAATAATGTTACGTTATTTTATTATATTATTAATAAACCACCAATTTATATAATTACTTATTCTTATTATAAACTTTATTTAAAATGAATTTTTTTTGAAAATACATTTTTACATTTTTTATAATATAATTAATTTATTTTAAATAAGATTTTTTAAAGGTTTATAAAAACTATAAATCTCGTGTTATATATTATATGCTTAAATATAATTTTATAATTATTATTAAATTTAAGTTTTTTTAAATTCTAATTAATACTTTATAATAATTTATATTACTTATTTTAATTAAATTTTAAAATATAAACTTGCTGTTAATAAAGAAAATACATTTATAACGCTTATAATATTTTCTAATTAAAACAAAAAGTGTATACGTTGTATTATAAATAAAAGTAAAAATATTTATATTTATATTTTAAAAAGTTTTTAATTAGCAATTAGCGGTTTTAATTAAGATTTTCTATTTATTTTTAATTAAAACCCTTATAATAAACCGCATTTCCCCTTTTAATATAATTTAATTTTTAAACTTAATATTATATTTAAAAAAATGTTTTTTAACTTTAAAGATAATATTAATTATTAGCTTTATATGGTTTAATATTTTAATTAAATTTGAAAAGTGTATGTTAATAATATTATTATTGATATAATAAATAATCCTAATATACGTTTTATTATTTTTACATTTAATTATATTTTTTTCAATTTTTCTATAAAAATAATTTTATACTTTTTTTTTTATTTATATTAATCGTAAATGCTTACCATTTTTAATTATTTATAAATTCATAATTAAAATTATTTTTTTATTAAATATAATATATTTATATTATGTAAATAATAATAATATTTTTCATTATTATATTATTATTTTTAATTATTTTAATTTAAATTAATTAATAATAATAACGATTTATTATTAATTTATCAAATTAAAATAGCGTAATAAAATATTAAAAAATTAATTAATACATTTCATTAAATAAAATAAAATATAAAAAGAAATATTATACGTATTTATTAACTTTAAAAAATTATTAATATTTTTTATA